AAAAAAAAAAGAGGTGATTGAAACATTCTGAATCTTAATTCTTATTGACTTGGTTTTTTAATGTTTTTCTTTTGTAGAAAAGCTTTGACCTGGAAATACTATGCAAAGAAAATTCTTTATTACCTACGACAACAGAAAATTTTAAATAATCTTAAAGCTTTTCTTCAGCAGCCTGATGACTATGAATCTTACCTTGAAGGTGGGTCTTTTCCTGTACATGTGGACAGCACCATTTCCCTAAGGAGCTCTGTGGAGTCTTTACGATCAGTGGTGGGAACACTGTCTCTGATGGTAAAGCTAGGAGCTCCGGTGGACAGTGATTAAAGCATGCAGCTGCTAACCAGAAGATCAGCAGTTCGAACCCACCAGGCAAAAGATGAGGCACTCTGCTTCTATAAAGATTTACAGCCTTAGAAACACTATGGGGCTATTTATTCTGTCCTCCGGGGTTGCTATGAGTCAGAATTGACCCAGTGGCGGTGGGTTTGGTTTTTGGTTTGATGGTAAAGCAGGGGGAACAAACCATGCTGTGGAGGCCTTTGGAAGTTAGAGTAGATGGTCTGTTAAGTTTTGAGTTGTCGCTGAGTTAGCTCTGACTCCCAGCGACCTCACATATAACAGTGAAGCGCTGCCCAGTCCTCTGCCACCATTATAATTGTTGCTGTGTTAGGGCCCGTTGTTGCAGTCCATCTCACTGAGGATTTGGACAGTATTTTCTAAAGATGTTTTATTGGTTCAGAGCATAAGATTGATATTTTAGCTAATGGAGTAGATTCCCTGTTTTTTTAAGCTTTAAAGCATCATTTCTGAGGCAGAAAGAAGCGTATCCAGTTCTGTCTCCATGTACCTGTTTGGGCTCAAGTTTAATGAGGACCAAATGTTCTTGTGCCTCAGTGAGTCTGCTTGCTCATAATAGGAAATGAGTAGGAAGAAGTTGAATAGACAGGTAAGAGGAAGGAAATAACTTTCTGTTCCTGCCAAGTTGGATAGGAACGAGATGGAACTTAAAAACAATACTATTTGTGACTCCTAGCCTACTACGCAAACGCTCCCGTAATTTACTGTTGGGAAAGGATAGGACTGTTTCATGTCACTTCCCTTCCCTTTGGGTGATTTACCAAATCCTTGATCCTTGTCTTTCCATTGATCCTCGTAGTCATGACTCATTTTGCTACTGTTCCCATCCAGACTGTCATCTCTTCTCCCTGCAGCAGCTTCCTCAGAGATGCATGCCTTCATGGTCATCACCCCTCAGGCTGCCGCACGCCAGGCTGGCCAGCTCTCTCTGAACCCCAGCTTCTCCACCACTCCCTGTGAAACCTGTAACGTGGGCAGTGGACTTCCTTTGCTCACCAAATCTCTACCTGACTTTCAGTGCCTTCCAAATTCTGGTCTTGTCCTCAGCTCCAAACCTCTGCCTTAAAATCAAAAACCAAATCCACTGCCATTGCGTCCATTCTGACTCACAGCAACTCTATAGGACAGAGTAGAGCTGCTGCTTTGGGTTTCCAAGGCTGTGATCTTTGTGGAAGCAGGCTGCCACATCTCTCTCCCACAGAGGTTCAGACTGCCAGCCTTTCAGTTAGCAGCCAAGTGCCTCCCACTGTACCGCCAGCGCTCCTCCCTCTCCCCATGATCTCCAGTAGTTCTGTTTGCACTAGCCAGGCCGTCCTCCTCACTGGAGCCTTACAGATACCCCAGGCTTCACATCTGGATTTGTAGTAACCCTCCGCCTTACAATTCCTTCTTGAAAGTCCTTCTTACTCTCCGGAGTTCAGCTCAGATCTCCTTCTTCATTTAAGTTTTCACTGACAGCCCCCCGTGGCTTCAGGACTACAGGAGCCCTTCACAGCAACCCCTCTGACGTCATTTCGCCTTCATGGCTTCAGGACTACAGGAGCCCTTCACAGCAACCCCTCTGACGGCATTTCGCCTTCATGGCTTCAGGACTACAGGAGCCCTTCACAGCAACCCCTCTGACGGCATTTCTCCTTCATGTGTGTACATGTTGTTTCTCCAGCCAGTCACTAGGTTTCTTGTGTGCAGAGGCTTGGGGTAATAATGACTGTTCATCTCAGAATACCTGGTACAGATCCTTGTTGATGGTATGAATGTCTAATACCATCCTAAGGGAAATGGAAAATTGGCTTTGATTTATTAAAATAAAGTATCTTCACCACACTGGAATCCTCTCCTAGCCATTGCACAGTTGAGAATCATTCTGTCTTCTCTTATTGTACTCAAGAATAGTTTGAAAAGCTTTATTTTCTGTTGCCTGTTTATCAAATATGTACTTCTTTATTTTCCAAATATGTATTTATATTATCATTTTCAAATAACCCATCCAAATGAGTGCCACTGAAGGTTTTTAAGTATTTGAGTGAATGAAAGTGAGCTCCGGTCCAGGCTTTTGATCTTGGTGACTAGAATAAAGTCAGTGCCTTTGACAGAGTCCAGGAATCATAGCAGAAGGAGGGGACAGGCTTCGGAGGAGTACAGTACCAACTCGCTCAGCCTGTGTAGGTGGGGAGTCCCTGAGTGGTACTAATGGTATGTGCTTGGCTGCTTACTGTTGTTGGTTGTTGGCTCGATTCCACCCAGAGGCACCTTGGAAGAAAGGCCTGCCAGTCCGCTTCTGAAAAATCAACCACTGAGAACTCGGTGCACGATTCTCTGACACACGTGTGTTGGCTGTAAGTTGGAACCAAGGTGGCGGCATCTGGTGCGGGTACAGATGGGGAAGCTTGGATCCAAGAAGGGCCAGCAGCCAGTCCCTGCCAAGGAGCAAAACTGGGACTGGGACCCAGCCTTCCTAACTCCCACTCAACTGAATTTAAGATGACTGTGAACTTCCCAGGTGAACATGTTCTATAGCCGAATGATCAACTTTGCCCTCAGTCATTTGTTAAAAAATTACATAAGGCGGTGGAAGGTAGTGATGTTGAATTAAACTGTCTGCAGCGAGCTGTGCACATCCTTGTAGTGGCCAGTCCTGAATGGAACTATGATCTAGTTGGAAAGCAGGGTTAGGGTTCAAGCCCATTTACTGTTGGTTTCACCCTTGACATGTGTGATTTGTTGAAATGACTTACTGTGTCACTGAGTGATTTCAACTAGTTCAGACTGAAATCATGGGATAGCATTATGTTTTTGGAAATGTTGGCTTTTGAACTGTAAGAGTCATGGGGAGAATGACGTAGCTTGAAAAGAGCTCCTTTATGGGGTTGTTTTCCTCTTTGTTACAGAATATCTGAATATGTCATGGATTGTGAAGGTTTTTGGGTCATGACTTCTGAGAGAGGTTTTAGTTTTGTTTTTTTTTTTTTAAGTGAAGTGGAAGCTCCTTTGTCATGCATTTTTCTAGTTCCTTCTCAGTGTGCTAGCATGCCACTCTGGATTCAGAGATAGGATGCATTCCTGGTAGATGGTGTGAAGAGCCACGGCCCAGGATGTCTGCAGTAAAGTGATAGATTATTGAGAGCAAAGAAGAATTTATTCCCTGCTTCCTGTTGTGTGTTCCTCTTCAGGTGCTGTGTACATTGACCAGTATTGCAACCCTCTGTCTGACATCAGCCTCAAAGACATCCAGGCCCAGATTGACAGCATCGTGGAACTTGTTTGCAAAACTCTGCGGGGCATAAACAGTCGCCACCCCAGTTTGGCCTTCAAGGCAGGTGTGGAATGGCTCACGGATCCAGCTGTGTTTGGAAAAGAAAGTGGACCTGGTCCATTTGGGAAATTCTGAGCAGCGTTTCTGTTATGTCATAAAAAGGAAGTGGTTAATAGCATATGCACTTTCCCTGGATAATGTCTATAAAAGATGAGAAATGCACGTTCTCTTCTCCCCAGATTGGCCACCCCTGATTAACACGGCTAGAAATCTCCATGTGTCTGCACGTTGAAGGGGGTGGGGCGCTATCATCACCCTCCATGTCCGTGTTTCCTCAGAGTAGACTTTGTGTTTCAGGCGAGTCCTCCATGATCATGGAGCTGGAACTCCAGAGCCAGGTGCTGGATGCCATCAACTCTGTCCTTTACGACCAGCTGAAGTTCAAGGGCAACCGAATGGATTACTATAATGCCCTGAACTTGTACATGCATCAGGTAAATGTCCATGCCTTGAACTCGGCCAGGGGTGGGGGGAAATACACATCACCTGAGAAACCAAGACACAAGAACGAAGTCCGTTGGTATCACACAGCCTTTGTGAGTAGTGCACATACTTCACTTTTGAATCTCTCCAGAGGCTTTGAGGCAGAAGGTCGTTTTCACCCAACTTGGGTAACCCAGCCCAGGAAACTGTGGGAAAGGGCACAGATACAGGTATACGTCAAGTCAGCTTTAAGTTGTTTACCCAAAAAAAAAAGACTCAGTGTCCTTGGTGTAAAGCTGTAATCCTTTCTGCGCCAGAACGCGTTAACAGCAGAGTTCGTGGATTACGTGGGTGTTTATGCGTGAAACCTACGAGAGCTGGAGCACAGCAGGACTGTCTGGGTTTTCTCACAAGTTTCTGCCTTTGACAGGGTACAATCTTACCACTTTTCTGTCACGCTCTATTAGTGTAAAATACTTCCATTTTCTTTCTGTGGCAGGTTTCTACCTTACACAGGTTCCGACTTTCGAAGGTTTTTCTGTAAATCAGTTTTTAAGCTCGTA